CCCAGAGTCGAAAAAAAAAGCAAAAGAAAAAGACGAAAGTTCAGACATCAAAACAACTGTTTTCCTTAGAAATAAAGTATACTTTGAATCAGCAGTTTTTTCACCAGCTGAGTACCTTAAAAATTATAAAAAAATCCCCTGTGACATCGTGCTATCAGCCAAAGATTTCACCGTTCACAATATTATGCAAACCATTCCTTAGACGCATAAAGCTCAAAAAACCAATGAAATAGTTTGAATATGAATTGAGAATGATGGATATGGTTGAAAAATGTCGTCAAACAGAGCAAACAAAAGCTAAAGAAATTCGAGATAAAATGTACAGTATTAACAAAAAAATGCACTAACCCTATCTTCAGTAAGTCGTGTCCAAGTACGAGTCACCTCAGCAGGTGGGGTATCCCTGAAAATGAAACCATCAATGACCCCATTTTAACCATACAGCACCTATTCAGTGCAAGAACTTGTGAAATTTTTGTGAGATCTACATAAGCTAGGAACAGTTTCGTAATAACCTAAAACGAGAACCAATGAAGGCCAGGTCATACGAAATCGTAAGAGGTACTTCACCACAAAATCAATGCTTCGCAGCTGGAAGCAAGTCACTTGTACGCGCTCTCATGGCATGGCCGTGTTCATAGCCAGCACAGCGGAACTGGAGCATCGTAGATTCCGCAGAACAGACAAAATACGACTTGATCCCGCCAATGCTGGATGGAGTCGACAAAATCGATTCCTGTATAAGTGTTTTCATGCTTTGCAGCAGCGTTGTGAGCGCCCGAGCGTTTTGAGCGTGCGCCAGCGTTTTTAGCTATAATCGATACCTACACTTTCTTGGTCACGCAAAACGCTGACGGACGCTTAACTCCTTCCGGACCCAGAGCACAGCATCGTGATGTGTGAAACGGTGGTGCCAGTACGACCCCCTCTCGAGGGAGGGTCTTGGTACGACCCCCCCCCCCCACCTTCCCCAGCAACTACCTACCAATTTCCCGCATTTTCCAGTTTTCGTCCAGAGATTTTCCGTCGAGCGGGGGAGGGAGCAATGTGAGGGAGAATTTTCCAGAGCTCCCTAACTTTCCACCACATTTTCCAAAATTTTCCGAAAATTTCCCTACATACTTACCCAAAAAATTTGCTGTCGAAGGGTGGGAGGGGGGAGGGGGTAAATAGAGCACATGAATGCACATGACACAGGAAAAACAGGAAAATCACGCGAAAAGTCAACAAGGATTTTTCCCAACGCGGCAAATTCCTGTCAAAGGCACATATGACCCCTCTCCTCTCCCAACAACGACCAAGTACGACCATCCCTCCCCAGCTGAAAAGTACGACCCCCCCCCAATGTGTTTCACAGAACGATGCTATCCTATCTGGACCGCGTGACACATACGGTATGTGTCAACAACTGCCTATATGCCGTGCTTTCCTCGACCAATTTGACTTTCCTTTCTTGTTCTAATGTTGTCAAAACACGTTTGTGAGCACGAAAGATTCCCCATGAGTGAGGGAGGGAATTAGTGACGATTTATTGATGAAAAATGATGAAAAGATCCGGAAGTTTGCGCAGGAGGCGGCCCGCTATGTTTTCGTACACTAATAGAGGCTCAAAAAGCTGGATCAATCGCTTATACTTTCCTAGACGCTCAAAACACTATCTCAATGTATGAACGCACTCTTGCTCTGCAGAGCAGACAACTTCGACGCGATTCTGACCGTCTGCACTCCGCACTCTACGCCTATGAGCGCGTTCATACTTCGCGACTCGACCGCTTGGATCGCGAATTATGAACGAAGCCCAAATCGACTAGGGGAGGGGCGCATAGGCCGTGGTATAGCCACCCTCCCCCCGCCCGAATATATTAGAGCTTAATTTTTGTGCAAACAAGCTTTGTTCCTCTAGGGTCAGTAGAATGGTACCACCCTGTATAGGCTAAGACGTACCACGATTCTGAAAGCAAGCAGAAGGTGCGGCGTACTCCAAAAAGGCGCACGAGAACGGCTAACGCTTTAATCCTTTCCCTTGCACAATGACACACTTTCTTGAGACTTTCACGACAATAAAACACCCCGAATATTGATTTACTTACAAGGAAACAATTTCAA